GCCTTGACACCTCTAGCTGTCATTTTCAAAATATCTCCAGTAAACATGCTCTTATTGAAAAACAATACATACAGGGGTCTTCCCAGAAGAAATCGGGGGGGGGGATCACTTTTGAAGTCCCCACCCCCACAGTCTTCCCCTCCACGAGTCTCTAGAGGCTCCAAGGGATTCCCTGGGCAAAGGTCTACCCTTGCTCCTTTTTCGTTTTTACCGATTCCCAGGTGTTGTCCATCTTGGAGCCTATCCAGACCTCATCAGGCCAGGCTTTCGAGAAGGGGTGGCGGTTCTTTAATTTACAAAGTCCTATTTTCCCTTGAGTACCTGTGAACTTTGAACGTAGGTGGCCTGGGCTTCCTGCTTTTGTGGCTTGTACTGTGAGGAGCCTCTTCACTACTCGGTATTAGGATGTTTCCACGTGACAGGCTTTAGGAAGGCCTTTCCTTGTGCGCCTAACAGATGACTGGAACAGCCAGTTGTGTTTACTCTATCTTTAGCAGTGGTAGCTCAGAAATGTCAGAATGAATTACAGTGAGGTCAGTATATACCACCAGGGCAAAATGAGTACCTCGGCTTTGCTTAGAATCTAAATGGTAGCCATCTTTCTTGGGAAGTAGTGAGCGGACCACAGGTTGACTCTGGTGTCCCCCACCCACGCTGGCTGTCAGCTCCTCTCTCCCTTCTGGCTTCCTGGAAAGCATTTCTGTGGCAAAGGAAGCTATTAAAATACTTTGGATCTTCCCTTTCCCTCCTGTTGTGCAAAGTGGGAAGGAAGGGAGAACCGAGTTCGACTGTGGAGTGAGGGGGATTCTCCTCCTTCTCTGGGTCTTCTCTGGGTCCTTCCGCTCTGCACCCATTTCAGGTGGGCTTGGTAGAAGGGGGGGGGGTCTTTGGCTGGGTTTTCTGGAGAGGGGACATTCCCTCTCCATTCAGAGCTGTCCTCTGATGGCAACAGTTGCTAAATTGTGTGGATTTGTTTTACAAAACATTTGCAATACTTGAAGTTTAAAGTAATTAGCGTGGAAAAATACATACATGGATTTGGTAACAATTATAATTAAAATACTAATATTTCTGTGATTGCAAATGGAGGGAATCAGAGTATAGTTTTGTACATGTTTAAAAACTAAATCCACAGAATTTCCATTTAATATAAAAATATATAGAGGGAAAAGATTTGTGTAGCACACTTTAAGCATGTTAGTTATTACTTCAGAACTATATATAAATTCCTGAAACATGGCAACATGGCAACAGAACAAAATTCAAGTTCAGTGGCACCTTTTAAGACCAACAAATACCTTGACTAAAACTTCATTGGTCTTAAAGGTGCCTCTGAACTCGAATCCCCCCCTCCACATTTGTGTGAGAAATTCCTACGGCCACAGTTGATGGGGAGGGTGGTCTCAGAATCTGCTGGGTTTCTTCAGGTCAGTTTAAGAATTTATGCATTACAGGATATAATGTTTGTGTTTATGTCTTTTTCAGTTTATTGAGAGAACACTCGATTGATGGTACTGGCTGGGCTCCAACTAGAACTTTACAGGTAGTCTAATATAAAATGTTTATATAAAATAAATATAAAATGTTTGCTATAGTTTTGATAAATTGAAAACTTTCGACAATAGTATATTTTCGTTTAAATCCTTCGGACACAATCCAGCCCAAACGTTAAGCATATTTGAATCGTATTGAAATGAGTGAAGACTGGAATTCATAGGGCTTGAATGCGTTTCCACAGTTCTTTGGATCATGGCCATTGATTTTATGGCAGATAAAAAAACAGAATGTAAAAGTTCCAAATTAACTGTTACTGACGTTTCAGAAATACAAAGGAATCTAATAGCTTCAAATGCAGTATTAAAATCCCAGATGATTTCCGTTTAAATTTTAAAAAATGGTCAAAAGTCCTCATAAGACTAAGATGGAGAGCCGCGTGAGTCTGCCTGTAGCATCCGGAAACTGCCAGAGAGTCCAGGAGCACCTGAAAGAATGACAAAATGTGTGGCAGGGGAGGCGCTTTGGTGAGTCACTGGCTCACTTCTAGCACTTAACATCCGGTGTTCTACCCATGACATTATTCAGAATAAGTGCCTGTGAGGAATCTCATTTCAATTAGATTGTTACTTGTAGTATATAAGCACAGCTAGCTGTGAATGTACCCAGAGAGTGCCATCATCTAACTCACATTTAATCAGTTTGCTGTCCAAAATATCATGGGGGACCTTGAAAAATGCCTTCCTGAAATCAAGGCACAATTTGTCCATGTTGTTGTTCAGTCGCACAGTCGAGTCCGACTCCTCGTGACCCCATGGACCACATCACGCCAGGCCCGCCTGTCTTCCGCCGTCCTCCGGAGTTTGCTTAATTTCATGTTCGTTGCATTGATAACACTGTCTGACCATCTCATCCTCTGCCGTCCCCGTCTTCTTTGACTTCAGTCTTTCCCAGCATCAGGGTCTTCTTCTCCAGTGAGTGCTCCCTTCTCATTTGGTGGCCAAAGTATTTGAGCTTCAGCTTCAGTATTCTGGCCTTCCAGGGAACAGTCAGGGTTGATTTCTTTTAGGATTGACTGATTTGATCTTCTTGCAGTCCAAGGGACTCTCAAGAGTCTTCTCCAGCGCCATGATTCGAAAGCATCTATTCTTCGGCACTCGGCTTTCCTTATAGTCCAAATCTCGCAGCCATACATTACTATTGGGAATACCATTGCTTTGACCATAAGGACTTTTGTTGGCAGGGTGATGTCTCTACTTTTTTTTTTAAAAAAAAATTTATTAGGATATATCAATAAATCAAACTGTAGATCACCTTACAAACTGACTGTCATATATCCCTTTCTCCTAATAACCCCCCCCTCCTGACTTCCTGCAGTGCTCCAAACTCCAGCCCAAATCTTATACTTTCCCTCTTTTTCATTAAAAATCAACCTCTTTGTCCCTGGCACTTCCAATAAAGTCTGCTTTATTGTCATGTTAAAAATAAAATAAAAATCAACCTCTTTTTCTGGATGTTTGTCATAATACTCAATCGCATCAATCACCATTCTTATGTTATCCTTTATTTGTCTGTTTGGTAAAAAAAACAGCTTGTTCTTCTTCAACAGCATCCTTCAAGTAAATCTTTAATCTTTCTGAGATAATTTTTGCAAATAGTTTGTAGTCATTATTCAAAAGAGAAATTGGTCTGTCCTATGCTTCTTTTGGTATAAGCGAAATTGTTGCTTCTTTCCACGATTCTGGTATTTTCCTTGTTGTTCTTATTTCATTTGTCAAAAGTTCAAAAGTCGGGGTTTGCTCTTCTTTAAATTTCTTATAAAACTTTACGGTAAAACCATCTGGTCCTGGAGCTTTCCCTAACTTTGCCTCCTCAATTGCCTTATTATAAATCTCTTCTTTCGAAATTGGACTATTTAACATTTTCTTAATATCTTCTGAAATCTTTGGCATCTTCAATTTGTCCAAATATTTTTGAACTTTTTCTTGTTCTATTGACTTTTTTTGAAAAAGATTTGCATAATACTTGAAAAATGCTCTTTTAATTCCATTGTTGTCCACAATTTCTTTATCCCCTTCTATTATTTTATTTATTATTTTATTCTCTCGTCTTTTTTTCAGTTGCCACGCCAGGAATTTCCCTGGCTTATTTGCCCCTTCAAATGATTTCTGTTGCAGCTTTTTCAAATTCCAATAAATTTCTTGGTTCATTAATGCATTTAATTGCTCTTGTAGAATTTGAATCTCTTTGAGTAGTTTCTTTCCCCCCGGTCTTTTCTTTAATTCTTTTTCCTTTACTCGAATTTTTTCCATTATATTATTTTGTTGTTCCATTTTCTTTTTTCTTTCTTTGCTGTTCAACGATATTAATAGCCCTCTCATTACTGCTTTGTAAGCATCCCAGACTGTATCTGTATTCCTTGAGTCAAGTTTGTTTGAAAAAAAAGTTTAGTTTCTTTACTTATGGTATCTACAATTTCTTGTCGATCCAACAGATCTTCATTCAGTCGCCATCTAGGTTTTCTTTTCCCCTCTTTAGATATCCATAGTATTGGATTATGGTCTGAATTTATTTTTGGCATGATTTCCACTTTCTGTGTTTTTAAGGCTATGTCACCAGTCGTCCATATCATATCAATTCTAGAAAAGGAATCATGTCTGTTAGAGTAAAATGTAAAGTCTTTGGTTGTGGGATTCCACTTTCTCTATAAATCTTCCAACTTTTCTTGTTTAACCAACTTGAAAAAAACTTTTGGTAACTTCCCTATCTTTTCATCCAATTTCTTAGATTTCCGGTCCAGTTTATTATTGATCGTACCATTGAAATCTCCCGCTAGTACAATCTGATCATAGGTCATCTGATCCAACTCTTGCGTCAGATCCTTGAAAAATTTCTCTTTTGCTCCATTAGGTGCATAAATATTTACAATCAAGGTTTTCTTTTGATGCATAGTCATTTCCACGGCAATATATCGTCCTTCTCTGTCTTTAAAAATTTCTTTAGGTTCAAATTCCTTTTTGATATATATTACGGTCCCTCTATTCTTTTTCTCTGCCAGTGAATAAAATTCTTCGCCTAATTGTTTAGTAATCAAATATATGAAATCTTGCTTTTTGATATGAGTTTCTTGCAAGCAAATTATATTACATTTTTGTTTTTCCAAACAATGTTTTACAATTTTTCTTTTGTCTGGTGAATTCCATTTACATTCCATGATATTAATTTGTAATCCATAGTGTTGTGCATTTACTTATCTCCAAAGTCTTTGGAGTTATCAAACATAAATCTGAGCATTTGTTCCGCTGTCTTGATTGTATGTCTTTGACTTTGAAAGTTAAAGCTTACCCCTTGTGGTATTTCCCATCTATATCTTATATTCAGTTATCTCAATTTATCTGTTAGCCTCCTAATTTTTTTCCTATCTTGAATAATTGTTCTAGGGAGCTCTTTCATTATTATTATCTTTTTTCCTTCTATTTCCAATGGTTCCGTGAATTGCTTCCTAAATATATCCTCTTTCATCCGTCTGGTTAGTAGCTGTACGATCACATCCCTTGGCAGATTCTTCTTTTGAGCATAAGCTGAATTCACTTTGTAAATCAGGTCAAAATTGTGTTTTATGTCATCAACTTCTTCTTGTAGATATTCTGCAAAGGCTTCAATTACCCTAATGCGGATGTTCTCATCTAATTTCTCTTCAACCCCTCTCAATCTAAGATGGGTCTGCATTGCTCTATATTCCATCATTGTATCTATCCGTTGATTTTCTTTCACCACTGTTTCAACTTTTTTGTCCATTTCTTGTGTTTTTTGCTCTGTTTCAGCAGACTTTTGTGATAGACTTTGGAATTCTTTTTTAATCTCTCCCACTTTCTTTTTGAGATCAGCCACCTCTGACACTACCAACTATTTCATTGTGGCCATATTTTTGTCCTGAACTTCCTCCAGATTTTCCATCTGTTTTCCCAATCCTTGAATGGCCTCCATCATCCTTTTTTCCATAGCCTCCATTGCTGCTTGCCATTCCTGTTTGTCTTTGACTTTAGCCATCTTCGGGCTCGACCATGTAGCTGCTCTCTGTCTCTGTCTTAAATTCGTTGTTAAAATTTGTTAAAACTCTACCAACTTAGAATATAATTTCACTTACACAGTTCAATTGTCCTTTATTCGCTTAGCCGAACCACTCTATTTTCTTGTTTCAGATGTTAAGTCCCAGCCAGAAATTTTAATTTTAAAAGTTAGTCCTCCCAAAAATGTCGGGCGCTTCAACTCTGTGGTTTTCTAGTCCAGAGTAGTCCACTTTCCCCTGTCACTTCCTGTCCGTCCGCTTGTTCGCTTCCCCCTCCGAATTTCCGGTGTCCTTCTTCTTTCTTCCTCCCCTTTTTTCCGGTCCGTCCCTTTACCTTCTGATCTTCTTCCGGTCCTCCGAATTCCCGTCTGTCCGCACTTCTGCGTCTCTTCTAGTCTCCTTCTACGTCACTTCCGGAACACCGCCTTTTTTGTTTATTTCGGCACCTTCCCGTTCTCGTAGTCTCGCGTTTTCTCAGATGTAAGTTTCAGTCTCTTATCTCTCAGACCACCACAGGAATGTTAAACAGTTTCACTTTTTCTATAATTTTGCTTCTTTTATCAACTTTTTTACTCTCCAACGTTACTCAAATATTTTTAAAGTTCATTATCGCTTGTCCAGATGTTTCAATATTCACCTTCAACTGTTTCCCGGTAAGCAAAATGATATTTGTTACCTTGTTTGTTTATCTTTGGTTTTCGCACTGCCTCCTTCGGTCCAAATCTTTCCTTTTGTCTTATGAGGTCAGGAAATTGTGATTTTAAGCTGACATCCCAGCTCGGTGAGATCCTTTAGTGCTGTGCGCAACGCTGCTTCGGAAGAGGGGATCAAAGTGTAATACAAGCCTCCTCCGAGGCTTGATCACACCAATCTCAACTCTCACTTGGGTCTTGATGCCTGCCAGTCATTCCCCCTGCCTGGGGGAAGCTGCGTTGGACAAATTAATCGTCCAAACTGCTGAAAGGAACCACCGTCCACCCCGAGAGCTTACATGGTATGTCAAATCGCCATTTTACCCCGACCGGAAGCCCCGGGTGATGTCTCTACTTTTTATTATGCTGTCTAGGTTTGCCATCGCTTTCCTCCCAAGGAGCAGGCGTGTTTTAATTTCATGGCTGCAGTCACCGTCTGCAGTGATCTTGGATCCCAGGAACGTAAAACCTGTCACTGCTTCCACGACTTCCCCTTCTATTTGCCAAGGAGTGATGGGGCCAGATGCCATGATCTTAGTTTTTTTTGATGTTGCGTTTCAAGCCAACTTTTGCGCTCGCCTCTTTGACCCTCAGCAAGAGGCTCTTTAGGTTGTCTTCACTTTCTGCCATTAGAGTGGTATCATCTGCATATCTGAGGTTGTTGATGTTCTTCCCAGCAGTCTTTATTCTGACTTGTGATTCATCCAGACTGGCATTTCACATGATTTACTCTGCATATAAATTAAATAAGCAAGGTTACAATATACATCCTTGCCGTACTCCTTTTCCAATGCTTAACCAATCAGTTGTTCCGTATCCAGTTCTAACAGTCGCTTCTTCACCCTTAGTGTTGGTCGAGTTGTCCCAGGACAGTTGTGGGGAAGAGCCTGGGTGATGTTCTTGGACTACCTGTTCTTCCTTCCTCGGGCGTCCCCCTGTCAAAATGGCAGCTGTCTGTAGAATGGGATTTGAGCTTCCCTCTGCAGAGATCCAAGGAGGCGGGTGGTTGGCCTCCTGCAGTCTTCCGTACAGATGAGGGTGCTGTTTTGCCTTGGCTTCTTCCCTTGTCCTGTTTCATGGGTGCAGAGGCCATCAGCCTCTTGGAGGCATGTGCCATACATATGTTGGCCTGTCCACAGTGCCGCTTGGAGATTGATGGCTGTGCTCACAATTACTTAGGGCTGAAGTTTTCTTATTCCGTTGTTTCCTGGGTGCAAGAGCATGGGATACCAAACAGACACAGTGGCATCAGCACCGCACTGACATGGTGAGCCTCAGCAGAGGGCCTGAGGAGTCTTCCAATACCTGGATCAATGAATCTGAAAATCTGACAGTCTTCAGTTTGCTTCTCAGTGGGCAAAAAACTCTGAAACAATCAACATTATTCCCCTGCTTGAGTTTAAAACTGCTGTGTATTTAAAAGCATTTATTTGCCAGGGGTCTCTTCATCTTGTGTTTATTTATTTAACTTATACCTTGCCTTTCTCCCAGTGGGCACCCAAAACAGTTTACGTTCCTCTCCTCCCCTCCATTCTATCCTCACAACCACCACCACCACCCTGTGAGGTAGGCTAGGCTGAGGGTGGGTGACTGGCCCAAGGTCGCCCAGTGAAATTCTGTGGCAGAGTAGGAATTCGAACCTGGGTCTCCCAGAACTCAACAACGCAACTAAAGTGAGATGAACAGTTTAGGTTTTTTCCACATTCTTGTGTAAATCATGAAGTAAACTGGTCCTGCACGGGGCAGGGGGTTGGACTGGATGGTCTATATGGCCCCTCCCACTCAGCGCATGCGCCCCTGATGCACTTGAGGGGGTGGTCTGAATGCATTTGTTTTTCTTTTTTTTCAGGATGTTGTTTGGGGACTAAACTCCTTATTTACTGTAAGTAACTCCATTTATTCATATTTCTGTCCTTCCTTTGAACTTATAACATTTGTCTTCTATAGAGCAAAACAGAATATTGTACTCCCCCCCCACACACACACACAAATCACAGTCGTTTGTCACATTGTCCAGGAAAGGAAGCATTGACTTGTTTTATAATTGAATTTTTGTGCTGTTCTCTGGGAAGTAAAAACGAGGCTAAATCACCCCTTACTATTTCTAACAGCTGCCATTCCTGGGCTTGGGCTGTCTTTCCTGCTTCCAGGGGGGCATTTGTAGGGTGCTGCCCAGGGTGGGGTGGGGAGCCAAGCGAGGGGTGCTCAGTAGTGCACAGTGGTCCTTGTGCCTGCAGGGACGCTGCCCTGGAGGCTGCCCACATGACACAGAGTTGTGGGTATTGAAAACAGATCCGCCAATATCATCATGCCCCTATAATAATCAATGGTGCCACCTCATTTGGAGTACTGTGTGCAGTTCTGGTCACCACACCTCAAAAAGGATATTATAGCTTTGGAAAAAGTGCAGAAAAGGGCAACTCGATGGATAAAAGGTTTGGAACACTTTCCCTATGAGGAAAGGATAAAGCGCTTAGGGCTCTTTAGCCTGGAGAAACGATGACTGAGGGGTGACATGATTGAGGTTTATAAGATTATCCATGGGATAGAGCAAGTAGGGTTTTTAGGTACTTTTCTCCCTTTCTCACAATACAAGAACTCCTTGTGGGCACTCCATGAAATTGCTGAGCGGTCGGGTTAGAACGGATAAGAGGAAGTCCTTCTTCACCCAAAGAGTGATGAACACATGGAATTCACTGCCACAGGAGGTGGTGGTGGCTACAAGCATGGACGGCTTCAAAAGGGAATTAGATAAGCATATGGAGCAGAAGTCCATCAGTGGCTCTTAGCCACAAGGTATAGATAGGGACTCTGGGGCAGGTGATGCTCTGTCATCTTGGTGCTTGGGGGGGGGCAACAGTGGGAGGGCTTCTAATGTCCTGGCCCCACTGGTGGACCTCCTGGTGGCCCCTGGTATTCCTGGCCCCTACTGTGTGACACAGAAGAGTGTTGGACTGGATGGCCTCTGGCCTGACCCAACATTTGGCTTCTCTCTCGTGTCTCTTGTGATGCTTCATCCGCTGCAGCCCGGCGAGCCACTCGACGCATCCCGTCTCTTTGTTTCCAGTGCAGAGTCATCCACTTGTGAGGACTGCTGCTGCAAGACCTTCTTTGCAGACGACGGCCACGCTTCAGAAATGAGCAGCAGCAGCCCCATGCGTGGGGCTCGAGGGGGCAGAGGCTGAAGCACCTTCTTGTCTAAGCAGAGCTCTTAGGCGGGAGTCTGAACCATGAAGTGTGTTACAGCCCCGCTCAGGGCTCTGCTGGGCACCCCTGTGCAGAGTCAAGGAGGGCCGCGCTTCCTCTCTCTGGACACGGAGGTGCCGTGTGTCCAGTGGTCTGACATCTGTTCGTTTTTAAATCTCCCTTGCCCCAGTTGCCAGTGGTTGCACTGGAAGGAGCTCCTGCCTTCCTTTCCTGTTCATCTGCAGCCGAACCCTTCGCGCCTCCCCTTGCAAGTGGGTGTCATCCGGAAGGTGGCCTCCTAGTCAGTCCCCCTGTAGATATAAGTGTATCTGCACTAGGCTTGCCAGCTGTAGTTCAGCATTTACTACTGTCAGAGTCTCGCAGCAATCAGTTCTCAACAACGTTCCTTCAGAAAGGTTCAAGTTTATTGAGTACAGTAAAGGCAGGTCATCTGTGCATGCATTCTGTGTCAGAACTAACTCTAAAGGCGGGAGCAGAATAGATACACAGGATTCGAAGTGAGGCCCCTGGCGAAGTCAAGCCAGTCAAAGAAGCAACTGGAGCGCGCCTAAACTAACGGGTTCATGTTCCCAGCAAAGCATCAGGAGAAACTGTCAGACACTCAGGCTATGAGATAAGATGCAGCGCGGAGAAGTGAAAGTTACAATTCCAGCATCACAAGAGTCGCCTCTCTCCCCCCCACCTGCAATGGCAGCACAGCTGACAACTACATTGATGGAAACTGAAGCAAGAGCCCTAAAACCCTCTCCCCTGTGGGCTGATTTGTTCCCTGGGGCCTCTGGTTGTCCTCGTGGGTTCACCATGACAGACGTTGCTATGGTTCCCCCTGCTTCCCTCTCCACCCCCGCCATTACCCTTGTCCACCCGCATCCCACTCTGAATTTCAAGGCCTTGCGTGCACCTCCAGTGGACCCCACTTCTTCCTTTCACCTCTCTCTGTGCTTCGGTTCCTACTTCTTGCCGCGCCTCTTTGGCTTCCGCCACTGTTCCATCCTGTCCTTTTGGGGGGCTTGGCACCCCCAGCACTTGCTGTTGTTCTTGTCTGCTGCCGCTTGTGCCAGGGGCCGTGCAGCTGTGTGGCTACGATAACAGCTCCTTCCGTTTCTCTCTTCCCACGGGCCTCTCTCCTTTTCTGTCTCTGCTTGCCTTGCTTCTGGGTGAGCTCACTTGTTCCAGCCTCTGCCATCCAAGTGAAGATTCCCCAATGCCTTGGTGTCCTTCTGTTCCCATCTCCTGTTCAGTCCATGCGGGAGTCATGCCTGACTGCCCAGGCTCTGGAGTCTTGTCTTGCTCTTGCTGAAATCACAAATAAGGTAGAACTGATCACTAGGCTTGTGGTCTGTTCATCCATGGAACCCACTATTTTACAAATGTATTTGAAGAAATGTGTTGGTCTTTATGTTTTTTGCAATATGTTCCTCATTGTCTCTATTTGCCTGTCTCGGCGGTGACTTGCATTTTATTTGCCACAACCTGTGCTCTCTTTTATTCACCTCATTCGGACTAGCCTTCCACCACTTAAAGGAATCTATCTTACCTTTTACTGCTTCCATTACTTTGTTCTTTAACTATGCAGGCCTTTTTATATACCTATTTGTACCTTTCCTAACCTGTTGGTACACATTTTTCTATGAGTTTCCAGGATTGTAATGGCTGAAGACAGAATTCCCGATCTTTAACCTCCACATCCAGTTCTTTCCCTCCTGCACACTGAGGTGCCTGCTTCGTCACAGCTGGAAGTACAGTCGTATCGCCTGTTAGATAGGCCTTGACTCAGATTCTTCCTTTTCAGTACCTGCTTGCTTTTCTGAAACGTTGCTCTGTTTTTCTTGTTTGGGGCCAGCATAGCAGAGAGGAAAGAGTCCAGTCCACTTCCAGCTCAGGAGCCAGGGCTGAGCCATCCCTCAGGCCCCTGTCGGGGGAAGATCCTCCCATGTGTTGGCTCTGCCTCCTGACAAGGTTCCGCTGCTAGGCATGGAGTCTGGAGCCACCCAGCGGCCGACAAAAGTGCAGAGTAGGACCAGAGTAGCTGGAGGCCTCTTCCACACCTACCTCCCTCACCTGATGGGCTAGGCAAGGTGGGAGATCCCCAGGAAGGGCTGTCAAGACAAGTCTCCCCCATCCTGTAATTATGCATTTGATTTTCCCCACCTAAATGCGAAGTGTTAAATTTATCCCCATTGAAACTTGTTTTATTTGTTTTAGCCCAGTTTTCCAGCCTGTCAAGATCATCCGTAATCCTGACTCCATCTTCTACCGTATTTGCCACCCCTCCCAATTTAGTATCATCTACGAATTTAATAGGAGCTGCGGTGGCTCAAGTGGTTAAGACGCTGAACTGCAGGCTGTGGAAGGTCGGTAGTTCAGCAGTTCGAGACCCGAGTGTACCGCATGACGGAGTGAGCTCCCGTCTCTAGTTCCAGCTCCTGCCAACCCAGCAGTTCGAAAGCAAGAAATTGCAAGTAGATAAATAGGTACCACTTCAGTGGGAAGGGAACAGCGTTCCGTGCGCCTTGGTGTTGAGTCATGCCGGCCACATGACCACGGAAATGTCTTTGGACAGCGCTGGCTCTTCGGCTTTGAAACAGAGATGAGCATCGCAACCCTAGAGTCGGATTCGACTGGCTTTCGAGCAAGGGAACCTTTACCTTTACTTTTTACAAATTTAATAAGCATTCCAGAGCCTGTGTTTCCTTCTGTTCAGTTCACTGGGGCAGACCTTCCAGTGTTTTAAATAAACTTTTCCCCTTTTATAGCTTCTTTGACTTGAGTTGTTAACTATGTAGGCAGCATTCTTTTCAACTTGGCAGTGCCTGTCCTAACCTGGGGAAATGCATTCTGTCTGGGCTTCAGTTAGTGTGGTTTTAAATAGCTTCCAAGCATCCTCTAGGGCAGGGGTGTCAAACTCATTTGTTCTGAGGGCTGGACCTGACATAAATGAGACCTTGTCGGGCTGGGCCATGTGTGTTATAAAATGTAATGCCAGGTAGCAGAGATATCAACTTTATAAAGGACACAGACAAACACAATTAAAGGTTTTTTAATGTTTAAATAAAACGTGCTTAAAACACTAGCACTCTTGCAATATTTTGTCTATTTAACAGTCTCTGATAACTGACACCTCTTGCTGTGAATTATTGCATTAAAATATCTGTGCTGTAACAATCTTGAGTATGCTGTTCAGGAGTGTGTCTGGAAGCTGCAAACCTACTTTTGATTTATTGACATTCATTGCAGAAATCTCATGCTCAGTGTTTTGAGCCTAGGACAGGAGGGAAAACATGAATTGGTGGGCATTACGAGCTTTTGTACATAAGTTGCTTCATGTGCTGGTCAAGAACATGAAAAGACATCCTGGCACAGACTGGGGGCTATGTGTTTGTCTACAAAACGTCTTCCCCAGAGAAATAACTACAACTTCCTACAAAGGGGGTGAGCTTGGTCTGGACACACACTCTCAACTTAATCCACCTCACTGGCCTCCTCTAAAATAGTTCACATTGCTTTCTTACTGAGAAAGACTGGATCATGAGAGCATGAATACAGTGAAAAGAGGGAGAGAACCCAGTTGTACCCAAGAGAGCCCTGGCATAAGGAGTTCAACAAAATACACGCACACACACAGCATAAAGAGCCCCCCAAAATACACACACACACAAAATCTCATACCTTGAATAAAGCTTTCTTGGTCTTAAAGGTGCTCTTTGCTTTTCTCCTGTGCGATTGAGGCAGCCCAGCAAACCAAGCTCTCCTGCGTTCCCTCCTTCCCTCCCTCCCTTCAGGGAGGAGCCTCAGCCAGTGGAAGGAAAGAAAGGCTTCCCTTTGTGTCCTGTAGGACTGAGGTAGCCTGGCCAGTTCCCTCCCTCCCCCTGGGAGAAGGAGGGGGAGGAGCCTCAGCTGGTTCTTTACCAGACTCAGTGGCACAGGAGAGGCTTGTTTATCTTGACTGAGAGTCTGGAAAAGCAAGCTGCAATGTGGCAGCAGCAGCAGAACTGAAAAAGGAAGCAGGAAACAGCGAGGGCCTTGCGGGCCGGATTTCAGCCCTCTGAGGGCCTGATCCGGCCCTCGGGCTGCATGTTTGACACCTCTGCTCTAGGGATTTGGGCACTTGGGTGAGGAAACCTTTCCTGTTTTCCCAAAGCTGTTTTCACCATCACTACCCCTTAAACTGTAACTTGCCTTGTGAGGAAAAATACGCAGCTTTAGTTAGCCCTGTAGAGGCCATGGCCAAGAGTCCACAGTGCAGTCCTTTCGCGTCCGGGGCAGGGCCTCGTGCATATGCTGGCACAAAGCAGGAGGGGAGGGTGCGCGGGACGGGCGGGCACTTTCCCCAGGCTCCCTGATTCTTCGGCCGCAGACGTGGACACTAGTGGGGCTTGAATTTCTCCCCTCCTTTTGTTAGTGGTCTCCGTGGGAAAACGGAGGCAGGCTTAACGCGATTCTTGATATTTGGTCACTGTGGTGTTCTGCAAGTTCACTGAATGCAAATCCCCTGGATAAAGGAGAGAGCAAAACTGGAACAACTCCCAATTGGGGTTCATCTCAGAGCATCTGCTGATCCCTCGTCTCGAGGCCTCTCCGTGTGTTTATACGTTTTCATGCCATTCTTCTTCAGGCATTCTCAGCCCTACCTTTTGTGCTCATGTCCCTGGTGGGTGATGCTGAGAGAGAGAGAGAGACTGTGTGACCGTCTCGGAGTTACTTCCCCACAGTTTCTGTGCGTTACACCGGTGGACTTTGCCCTTGCCCAGAGCTGTGGTTCAGAAACTTTTAGAGCTTCCAGGTCTGGGAAAAACCCTCCCTCTCGGAGACAGAGCTTGGCCAAAGTGCAGGAGTCATGCCTGACTGCTCAGTTCCCTTCTGCCTGCCGCAGAACGACCATGGATCATGACACTGCCTGTGAGACTGGTCTTTCAGAGCTTTCTTTCTCTCTTCCCACTGTTTAGTGTAATGAAAAAATCAGTGTACTTCTTAAGAAGAAGAAGAGTTGGTGTTTATGCCCCGCTTTTCTTAAAGCGGCTTACAATCAACTTTCCTTTCTCTCTCCTCCACAACAGATACTTTGTGAGGTTAGACGGGGCTGAGAGAGATCTGAGAGAACTGGGACTGGCCCGAGGCCACCCAGCAGGCCTCACAGGGTGGAGGAGGCGGCGGCGTGGGGAATCAGGCCTGAGGCTGCCACTCTTCACCACCCACCACGCTGGCTGTCTCGTGGGAAGAGGCTGTGGCTCGGTGGCATATGGGCATCAGCTTTGCACGCAGAAGGTTTCAGTCTCTGGCACCTCTAGGTTAAAGAAAGGACTACATCACAGGTCACCGTTGTGACGCACAGAGACCACCAAGAGGCAAAACCCGGGTTGCCTGCCTGCCTGCCTGCGGCTGCTGTTCACTGAGTGGTCACCTGGGCACCCCCCCTTTCCCCACTACAGGGGCCTCTTGACTTGCCTCTGAGCCCAGCAGTCCAGCACTGACTGCTGCCACCACACCCGGCCATACAGAAGGACCACAGCGTTGAAGGGAGTGGGAAGGATTACACAGGGTTAGAAGTGACATTCCATCAGCAGTTGGAGCGACCAATGCAGGTCCTGCATCTTCAAGACCCCCCCCCCGTCACAGCCCCCGTTTTTGTTTCTCTGCATTGCTGATCTCCTTTCAGTCTGCCCTGGCTCATGTTCTTGCCCTTCAGGGGTATCCTTCTCCCTGGGCCTCGTTTTGCCCTCTTTCCCTCTGGCCTGTCCAGCCGAGCTTTTGTGTCATCAGTGGCCATGATCTTTTCCTGCTGTTCCAAATCCTTCACTTTTTTCAGCAAAGCCTTTTTGTTATTCTTTAGGTCATTTGTACCCACCTTTCTCCCAGTGGGGGAGACCTGAAGCAGCTTGCCTCATTCTCCTTCCCTCCAGGTGGTCCTCACAACACCCCTGTGAGGAAGGTCAGGCTGAGAGGGTATGGCTGGCCCAAGGCATGAATGGGGGGTTGAACCTGGTCTCCCCGGGTCCTGCTCTTACGCGCTCTGTGCCGCGCTGGCTCTCTCCCTCCCCCTTAACGGCCAACACCTCCTTTGCCAGTTAACGTGCCGGGCCAGCCACTGCTGCCGGTGTCCTTCCTTAACTGTCCAGCGCTGATGCTGAGCTACCCAGGTTGGCAGGTACTACGTCACACCTGCATTTTTGGTAGCATCTTAGCAGGTACTAAACAAGCTTCCACGTAAACAGATTTCCACTAAGGTATCTCTTGTTATGGCCCCACAGGCTAAACGAGTTCTTTTCCAAACCCAGGTGTTGTGCTGCATTTTGGACAACTGAGATCTTGTGCCACCCCCCCCCCCCTTCTCTAGTATGCCTTGTTACCCAGGACCTGAGAATGCGTGGCCCCTCCTGCCTGGCCAAGGGCGGAGTCAGTGTCTTGTGGGAATCGCACCTCTGAGAGGCGGCTGGTTTGTGGCTGGGCTGACGGGTGTTCCCTGACATGCAGCTGAATAGGGAGACAGCGAGACCAGATTTATTTTAAAACAACAACAACAGAGGCTGTTATATTTGTGTGACTGAAATAAACTGTGGAAGCAGAACCACAGTGGTGGCAGTGGTGTGTGATTTTGTATAGCAGTCAGACCTTGTAGTGCTGTCAAAAGGCTCTTGGGCAATGAGCCTCGAGGCCTCTGCTGAAGAAACCCCCGCTGTTCCCCTCGCGACCCTGCCCCCCTCCTCTCCCCCTCAGCCAAAAGGGGGTTGTTGAGCTCTCTGGGCATTTGTGCTGACAAGTAGCTGTGTTTGCTCCTGTTTATAATGTTGGGTTTCATTTGGCATAAGATCGTAGCAGTAGCCCAGTAAAGCAGCTGTTCCGTTCAAGGTCCTTTCGATTTTGTCATCAAGGGGGTGCCGGAAAACATATTGGTGGCCACCAAGATCGGGGGGGGGGCCTGCTGTGCAAGGGGGGCGGGGAGGGGCAAGTCCAAAGAGCCACTGTGGGGACAGGCTTTGGGCATACCTGCAGCCGCTCCCAGGGTCCCCAGTGCTGTGTGTCGGTTTATGTTGCTGAGTCTCCAGCCACCGCTGTCCTCTGTGAGCCAGGCGGAATGCATCTCGGGCTCTTTGTGGCAGCCGGGAGAATGAGGAAGTGGTTTAGACTCACCAGATGAATTGGCATTTACTGTTGGAAGTGTTAAAATGAAATTTCATACATGAGCCAAGTGCCTGGGGACTAAAAGCTGCTTTAGGTAACCGAGGGCTTGGTGGGACTCCTGTCTTTTCTTGCACACTGCAAACAGCCTTTGATACGCCTTCTGTGCCAAGCCCCCCCCCCCCATCCTCCTTAGATCCAGGTCATCCTCCTTAGATCCAGGTCATCCGATGTGTCGGTCAGTTTTTGTGTATAAAGATTTTATTGACTCCCCTAAAAAGGGGAGGAGTTTCGCTTAAAAAGAAAAATAGGGAAGGTATATAGTGGGACGGAGAGAAAGCTGAGTGATCTATTAACTGTTAGATTAAACTGTTAGTAATGTCCAATCATCAAAGGCTTCTTCTGCGTGTTGTCAAACATCTTTTTTCCATTCCAGTTACTTTCTGTATTAGTATGTTAGTAATGTTCCTTTGAATTTCTGTTAAAAAGTCTCTTCAGGGCACATTCAAAACCGCTTCTTTTACGTGCTGGTTACTTTTCCACTCTCAGTGACGGGAGGGGCTTCCTCTGTTTTTCTCTCCCTCCGGCTTCTTCCCCTCCTCCTTCGGGTCGCTGTTAACTCTTTCAGTTCCTGTGCTATAAGTCGTCTTCCTTTCATGCCATGCCCGGAGATCTCCAGCTTTGAGAATGGTATTAATTTCAATTTCGCTTTTATCCGCTCCCAATCTCTTCGCTGGATTCTCCTCTTCAATTGTTGACTTTTATAAGCGCTCATGAGGCACTTTTCGCTGTCACAATTCAAACTTTTCTTTTCCTTCACAATCCCCGTTGGATTCATAGCTATACACAGTCCAAATATTAAACAGCCGGCACTCACGTTGACACAAACGCCCTGACGGAAGTCCCTTCCTTCTCCTCTGCTTGTCTTTACCCAGCTCCGACATCTTGTTTTTTTATTTTTAGTAAAGTTTTTAAAATGCACGCCCGGTGGTTCCGCTAAACCCCGTAGAACGGGGTCGCTCACGCAGCAAGGTCCAAAGGGGCAGGGCATGGCGAGAGTCTCAATCTCCGATCTTTCGACTGAAAGAGAGACTCCCCCCTGGAACGCCCTAAAGCGCCCCGGATCTGAGCTCCTCTCATCTGAGGGGCTCGTTCGGGTCTCCGCTTGCGCGGATTCCCTCCTCCACCGCGGGCGGGCAAGGCGCCCTCGGGAGCGACCCGAGGATGCGTCTGCCTTTCGCGGGAGCCAGACCGGAAGCCGTGTCGGTCAGTTTTTGTATGTTTAGTCCCTGTCAACTTTTCATTTAAAAATTCGTGGGTTCTGTTGGTTTGTTTTTCATGGGCTTCTGTTGGTTTGTTTTGTGTTTTCAGGATCTCTTGAATTTTGATGATCCTTTGAATATTGAAGCTGCAGAACATCATTTGCGTGACAAGGTGAGCAATAATTTCTTGAAAGTATTTCTAAACAAGAACACCTTTTTCTAATGTCCTTTATGGCCGTCTCTTTAGAGGAAGTTCTGTGTCAGCTAGGGCTGCCAGACACCCCCCCCCCCCCGAGGGTTTACCCGCTTTTTTGGGCTTCAACCCACTGCCGACCAGCTGCCGACCCGCCCCCAAGCCCGAACACCCGTGGCCCCCCCCTCCCTCCTCTCTCTCGGGCTACGTGGCAAGTGGCTCTTGAAAACAGGGCAAGGTCTTCTGCTTTCAGGGCTCTTTAAAATTTTAGATCTTCCTGTATGTACCTGGGCACCTGTGAACACTCAGCCTCCAGTGTGTATGTGGGTGAGAGAGATTGAATTTTATCCTGCAAGGCTGTGTATTGCTGTACGCTGGTGGTCAGTCACGCACACTCAGAGCAACTGCTATTCCAGCACAAAGGAGCTCTTTGCTCAGCAGCTGAACGAATGAGACACAGGCCATCCACTGCCAGGCTCAAGTCAAGGTGTTGACTGGCACCTGCAAAGCCCTCCGTGGCCTCAGTCCCTCGTCCTTGCAGGACCGCTTCTCCGCCAGGACAGCGTGGCTCACCTGAGCAGGTCTTCAGCGGGTGCAGAGTCCCGCAGACGGCCCAATCAGTGCGGCGGCCTCTGCTCTCGTGCCTGCTCCGTGGTGTCCCCCGGGGAGGAAGGCTCCCCCTCCCCTGGCTTGGCAACAGGGAATCATGGCCTTCGGCACAGGCAAACAGGACGGTCCCCAACCCCACCACTGCAAGTCTGCTCCGGACTCAGCAGTCACGTTTAAATGCTTTTTTTCAGGTTTGTTTGAGCTCCGTCTTCGGTTTCTGCTAATGTTCAGATTCCCGTAGTCCTGCAGTTCCAGTGGGTGTCCCATTCAGCTGACTGTATTTGATTTACCCCAAGTAATCCACCTTGATTCCGGGTGTGTGATGTACTGCCAGTAAACGTGCCAGGACCTTTGCAGGATAAAACATTTAAAGAATGTTGGATTAGCAGCCATGATGGAAAATAGATAAGATTTTAAAAATCTTTTGCGGGCTTTTTAAAAATTTCGCATTTTATTCATTGACCTAGAGTTTATATAACTTTTGTATAGCTATGATAAGGGCTGAACTAGACAAGACAGGAGAGATCATTGTGAGGGTCTTCCTTGGTTTCCAAAAAGCTGCCATGGGGAGGGTTAGTGGGGGAGGGGGTGGCCTCTTTGGTGACATTCCTAGGCAAAAACAGTTTCAGGGTTTGGGTTTATACTGGCTTTACAGGGTGTTATTTTGTTCACACACACACAATAACATAAGAGGGTCAAATTCTACTGCCTCAACAATTTATCACAATAGGGTTTTCATAATATTAATTTGTTGAAAGACATTAAGACCAACTTTGGTCTTAAAGGTGCCACTGGACTGAAACTTTGTTCTATTCCTTCAGACCAACAAAGCTACCTACCTGAATTAAAATTTAAGCAACTGATGTTGGTGTGTCCAAGTAAAATAAGTTTTATATGAAACAAGTTCCATTCTTTGATTTTACTGTTTTTATTTAGGAATGGTGTGCTTTCACTTTCGTATTTCCATTTCTTAATATATGTACAAAGAGGTTGAGTGATAATATTTTTGTATATGTAACATTTTGATTGAAACTAAAAAAGCAAGCACTGCACTGACGCTCTTGCACATGGAATGTGGAAATTTTAGAAGTACAGAAATCTAAAATGCTTGGTTTTCCACCCCCATCTAGGAGGACTTCCGAAATAAAGTTGAAGATTACATTAACCACTATGCTAGATGATGAAGGGAGACAGCAGCACTATGGAATGCATATCGTACTGTTGACTGTAACGTGATTAAAAACAACACAAAGCCTGGAATGTCCTTGTCTTTTGCCCATGTTGTTCCAAGAAGAAAACAAGCTTCATAATAATCCATGTGAAATGGAGGTGCTCCGTGTCAGTACAGCGAGGAAATCGTATCTGTTGGTTGAAGAAACTTTTTTTGCTTTACTCTTTAATGTCTTTTCAGAAAATGTACTGTCTATCCAGAACTGCAATATGCTTCGGAAGTTAAAAGAAATCACTATTAAGGTTGTATTCATACTACTTAAAAACTTTCCTCATGACTCGTAGGAAGGAATGGTATGCTTACTGGAACTTGTAAAAGTTGGCAAATAAAAGTAGGCTTCGTTAAACACGGAGAGACAAACAGTTGCCTTCATGGAACCGAAATAGTAGTTGGGACGCGGCTGGCCCGGGAGGAGGGCAGTCTCATAAACTGAATTATACCTATTGTGGGAATTTTTATACTTAATTTAACTTTTACAGTTGCTGCTCTCAATTCATCTTCAGGCTACAGAGTGTTTTTATTCTGCATTCATTGTGCAATGAAGTTAGGTCTGTGTATAATTGCAGAGTACCTTTTTAAAAAAAAAAATCCAGTGTTTTACATGCTATCACAGTGAAAAGGGAAGTTTTCTTTTCTTTTTACATAGTTACCATTTTAATTTTTACAGTCTGTTAGGGAGACATGATGTGGAAGATTGTTATTGTAATAACTGCCCCCGTGTTGCAGAACCCGCTCCATGCGAAAGGAACATACACACATTGAAGTTTCACGAGGCACAATCTCAGAAGCGAAGAAGCCTTTTGTGGTAAAGGCAAGTGTGGGTGAAAAGTACGTCTAGAGTGGAAACGCTGTGTGTATGATACCACAAATCCCTTTTGAACAGAGGAGGCATGTACCTCAGGAACTAATTAAAAACTAATTCCGCACAGTTACTATTCTGGTTACTTTGGTTCTTCCTGATGTATATCAACGAAAAATGAAGCTTGGTATTTTGATACTATTAATTGGCCTGGGATTTAAAGAAAAAAATGAGAGAGCCATAGTTACGTAAATGATTTAATTCTGGGATCACATAAAGTGTGTTTGTTTTACATCAATAAATTGCCATCAAAACCAGAAAGAAACATTTGTGAAGTTTCACGGGTATGTTATACATAACATTCAGCCCAGAAAGTGTTTCCCCTGACAGAAACATTTCCGTCAGAGGTGTTCACCTTTTTTCTTTCCTCAGTAAGCCCAAAAGCTTCCAAGATGCAGTCACAGTCACGGGTGGGTGACCTGCAAGCAAAGAGGGGGGGGGGAGCGGCCCCTGCTGGCAGCACGGGGTGGTGGGGTGGTGGGCTTGCTTCCATCAGTGGAAAGGCTCCATGGGATCGCGCCCATTCTGTCGCTTTACAAGCAGACGCTCCTCCTCCTGAAAATCACTGCATCTGTATACTGAGGTCAGCTTGTGTGGAGTTGGGTTTTGGGGACATAATAATTAAGCAGAAATAGTTCTCTTTGAGAATAAAAGGCATTACTCAATTTGAATGCAATTATTATTTTTCTGCTGTGAAAAAGAGACCATTTTGCATTAAAACAACCTTATAAAAATCGTTAAAAAAAATAAAGGGCTCCCAGTTTTTTGGTATTTGCTAAAATCTCGATATGGCAACAGCAGGCAATGTGAGAACTGCGGGATGTTCCTTTAGATAATGGGTAACTTGAACATCGTCTTGAAGGACTGTTCTTTATCTTTAAAATGTGTGTAGTGGAAATAAGTTTCTTTAATTTTGTTATTTCTTTAATTTTGTTACTTGGAAAAGTTTGATATTCCCAGTCCTCAGCCTGACACAGACATAAGCCCCCCCCCCCGCTCGTTTCCCTTCTTGCTTCCAGGGGATGTCCATCTGCCCGTCACATTCCCCGGCTGCTTAGGAGGAGTATGCTCTCGGTCCCTTTTCCTTTGCTTTGGTGATTGGTATTAACAAGCGGGTGTTTTCCGCATACTTGAAAGAGTCAGCAGAAGCACGCAGGAACGGCTTCCATGGCCGTTGTTGGCACCACATTATTGGCCGCACAGAATCATCTATTTTTATTTTACTTTGCTAGAACAGAATATGAATGAAGCGTGGGTTTCCCTCACAATGTGCCAATGCGCCATCTGCAGCCAGCTTGGCGGGTTTTCTCAGGAGGAAGCCCAGCAGGCTTCCAAAACCTGGGGCCAGTTATAAAGTTGAACTGCCAAATACGTTAAGCTTAGTTATGCCGTACGGTTTCTTTTTCTCTGAAATCAGAAGCATTTTCTATTTACTTACCCTTTTCTATAAAGTTAATGTTCTCAGATGTAACTGTCCTTTCTCCTGTTTTCCCAAGTAGCGAAAACTAAATTCTGCGTAGAAGCCGCTGTGTATCTGTAACACAGTATAACAGATACAAGACAAAACGTAAGACAGGGATCCCTGACCTTTTAGAGCCTGTGGGCACCTCTGAAATTCTGGCATGGCGTGGTGGGCGCAGCCACAAAATGGCAGCCGCAGGAGGTGGAGCCAGCCACAAAATGGCGGCCACCGCTCAACTTTAGTCACACACAGTGTCAATCTCTTTGCTGTGGAGGCAGCTGCCACCACAGCCATGTTGTAAAAGTTCCGCTCAGCCCATCCAATCTCCCAAGAGTCATTCAGGAGCCTTGCTGGGCAGAAGCCTCACCGGGCCTTGCTCCCTGCCCAGAACACTCCGCAGACACCAGAAACTGCATTGGTGGGCGCTGTGCGGATCCCTGATGTTCAAAGAGCCGTGCTGGATCAGATCAGGGAGGGTCCATCTAGTCCAGCCTCCTGATACTTACAGGCCAACCACTTAGTCTGGAGAGCCAACAACAGGGCAGAGAGGCCGAGGCCTTCCTCTGAAGTCCTTCCCCCAAAGAATGATTAACGCATGGAATTCACTGCCACAGGAGGTGGTGGCAGCTACAAGCATGGACGGCTTCAAGCGGGAATCAGATAAACATATGGATCAAAAGTCCTTCAGTGGCTATTAGCCACAAGGTAGAAATAGGGACTCTCGGTCTGGGGCAAGGGATGCTCTGTATTCTTGGTGCTTGGGGGGGGGCAACAGTGGGAGGGCTTCTGGAGTTCTGGCCCCACTGCTGGACCTCCTGATGGCACCTGGTATTTTTGGCCACTGTGACACGGAGTATTGGACTGGATGAGCCATTGGCCTGACCCAACATTGGCTTCTGTCATGTTCTTGTTCTCTGATGTTGCCACCTGGTACTGGTTTACTGCCTCTGTATGTGGAGGGTTTCCTTTGGGTTGCCATGTCCACCAGCCACTGATAGACCTCTCCTCCATGAATCTGTCTAATCCCCCTTTAAAGCACTGTATGCCTACATCCTCTGGCAGCAAATTCCCCATTTTAACCACTCCTCATGTAAAGAAGTCTTTCCTTTCATTGGTCCTGAATCAGCTTCATTAGATGTCCTCAAATTTTAGTATTTTTGGAGAGGGAGAAAAGTTGTCAGCTCTTATCTATCCTGTGAATCTTTGTAATGGGTTGGACCCTGCAATCCCTCAGCATATAATGCTGACTGTCATGGATCTCCCTGGTTTTTCTCCCTCCCACCAGTCCTTTTGGACATTAGGGCGGTGTGGTGTTCCTGGGGTCACAGACAATGCTCCCTCTAAGTTGTGGAGTCTTGTGGGGTTTAAATTTTTTATTGTTTAAAATAAAAGGATATACATATCCGCAGTTCATCATCTTATTTACAGATCAGAGTCAGATATTTTCAGTTAGTAACCTCATCTGTAAGTAATATATCATTCACTATTGCAAATACAGGAAATATCTTTTCTAATTACATTTCTGTTTGAAGTTCTATCCATTTATATATCTTATTCCATCTCCTTTTGTGTACCCTCTCATTTTTATTTTGCAACTTTAAACTTAGATCGTCCATTCTGGCTAGATCTAATATTTTATTTACCAACTCTGCTTTAGTAGGTAAGCTTTCCGATTTCCAGTTTTGTGCTAATAACAATCTGGCTGCAGTTATAATATAACTAATTAGATATGCGTCCTGTTTATTGTAGCCATTTGGAATCATATTAAGCAGGTATATTCCTGGTTTCAGTGCTACATTAATGCCTAAACTTTCTTGGAGTACTTTTCTAACCATTCTCCAGAATCTTTGTGCCATGTTACAATCCCACCACATATGGTAAAATGTTCCTTTACAGCTTTTACATTTCCAGCATTTATCAGAATACCCCCTGTAACATTTGGCCAACTTAACGGGTGCCCAATGCCATCTATGGAACATTTTATATACATTTTCTTTATACGCGACCGCTTTCATATACTTAACAGTTTTCCACATGGTTGCCCACTGCTCTTCCTCAATTTCCCCTATATCTTTCACCCAAGTGTTCATTACATTTTTTACTTTTTCGTCCTTCAAAAATTCCTGTAGATGTAAGTTATACAGTTATACAGTTTCTGAATCAATTTATCGTTTGAGGACAGCCATATTTTATCCAATTCATTATTTTGGTCCTCAAAGCCTCTTGTCGCGTCTTTCTTAAATCTATCTCTTAGTGTTATTTGCTCCCACCATGATAGATTATTTTCCTTTCTAAGTTTTTCTTCTGTTTTTAACTCATTTTTTTTATTTAGTAATGTTCGATAGCTTTCCTTTAAATTCATCGTTATCGCTGAGGGTATAATAAATGCTTCCAAAGGAGCGACCCATCTTGGGGTTTTCTTATACCATATCTCTTTAGTTTTTACCCATACTTTATTCAACGCGCCTCTTAATATGTGTCTACCAAAATTTGAGTGGATCTTATCTTTCCCATACCATATATAGGCATGCCACCCCATACTGAGGTCATGTCCTTCTATAGCTAGGAGTCTTGCATTTTCAAGGTTTACCCAGTCCTTTATCCATACTAGGGCGGCGGCTTGATAATATATATACCAGTTGGGGACACTCAATCCTCCTCTTTCTTTACTATCTTGAAGCACCTTCCATTTTATTCTGGCTTTCTTATGCTGCCATATAAATTGTCTGGTGACCTTATTGAGATCTTCAAAAAAGTTTTGGCTTTTTAGTACAGGTATATTTTGTGCCAGATATAAAAATCTAGGCAACACATTCATCTTAACCAACGCTACCCTACCCATAAGGGACAACGGAATGGCATTCCACTTCTGCAAATCCAGCCTAATATCTTTCAAACTCCCAGTGTTAAGTTTCCTTTTGGCCCCCCTAATTCAACCCACAGAACTTCAAGAAGCGAATCCAATTCTCTTAGCCTCTCAATCTTTCTGGACTTTATACCCTCTCTGACATACAGAGCCACCCCACCTCCAACCCTTCCCCCC